GAGTAGCTGGGATTACAGGCACGCACCACCATGCCCAGCTAATGTTTTGTAGTTTTAGTAGAGACGGGGTTTCACCATGTTGACCAGGATGGTCTCGATCTCTTGACCTCGTGATCCACCCGCCTCGGCCTCCCAAAGTGCTGGGATTACAAGCGTGAGCCACCGCGCCCGGCTCACGTGGATATTTTTAAAGCAGTTACTAGGTATCAGACACTGGCACTGGTTTAGGTGTTGAAAAAAAGCAGACAAGTCCCTGCTTGCTTCACTAGTAATACTTGGTAATATATACAATTTATAGTTTTAATATGCTTTATATATATATAAAGTCATTTAGTGTTTTCAAAAAGCTGTATGATAGTAGTATTATTACCCCTACTTTATTTATGAATAGTTTAGTGGTTTGCTTAAGATTGACCTAAGGACCCAGAAAGGGTCCTAGGGATCACACCACCTGTAAAGGGTGACCTTGAGGCTCAAACCCAGGCAAGCTAATACAGATAGCTTTTTGCTTTATACTTTCACACAGCAACAGTCTGTTTTTTTGTGGTTTTGTTGAGTGCCCTTTGGCTGGAGCACTGTAACACATGAAGGTTAGGTGTTGAGGGTGGCATGGTGCTGTGTTGAGTTAAGGATTAACCCTTGAACTCCTTTCTACCATATTCTGCCCACCAGACAGTAATGTATACTGTGTATCTATAACATAGAAAAATGTTTTTTCAGTACTGTCAAAGGTCGTTGTGATAGAGGTATATAGAGTACCTTCATTAAATTTAACTTATTGTTTTACTTTAGGTTAATCTGAATTAAAATCTTAAAGAATGCTTCCTCTTAGTTTTTTTTTTTTTTTTTAAAACTCTGTCTTATGAAAATTTGTGTTGTGAGATAAATCTGATTGATTTTCTTTGAGCTCTTGGTCCATGAGACCCTCTTGGATTAATTGATTATCCTACCAAATCTGTAAGCAAAGCTTAGTAGCCTGTGTTACCTCCAGCAGTTAATCACTGGTGGGGGTGGTGTGCAGCACATGTTTGACTCTTTCTTTCTGGATCTCTTAGCAACAACTTGAAGAAGAGGCAGCTAAACCTCCCGAGCCTGAGAAGCCCGTGTCCCCTCCTCCTGTGGAGCAGAAACACCGCAGTATTGTCCAAATTATTTATGATGAGAATCGGGTAAGCTCATACCATCTCTGGCAGCATAGGCCTTTAAACCCACTTGACTCTGCCCTTTTTAGTTTTGAATGTGTTCTGGTATAATTTTAATTTTATTAAAAGCTGATTTCTCATATAATTTTTAATGTTTATAAGCTTTGGCTGACTGAGCTTCGTGTTTTTTTCTTATCAATTGAAAGAAAAGTTTACATTTGTGCCTTAAATTATGTAATATTTCATTTTACATTATATATTACATAAATATTTAATCAGTAAAACTGTCAACTGAGTCTCCTTTTATATGAATACTGACATGCAAGTTTGGTAGCATATAATGTAAAACAACCATTCTGTAATTTTTCCCTTAATAAAGGATGTAATGCTGACTGTTGATAACATTTCAGTAAAGAAAGGTCATTGCATGTGAGGAAATGAAGTTTCTTGTCAGCATTAGTTCACAGTTGATAGTTGGGCTGTGGTTTGAACTTGTTAAAAAGTTCAAGGCTGGGCATGGTGGCTTACGCCTTTAATCCTAGTGCTTTGGGAGGCTGAGGCTGGTCGATCACTTGAGGTCAAGAGTTTGAGACCAGCCTGGCCAACATGGTGAAACCTTGTCTTCCCCTAAAAATACAAAAATTAGCCAGGCGTGGTATTGTGTCCTTGTAGTCCCAGCTACTTGGGAAGCTGAGGCAGGGAAATCACTTGAACCCGGGAGGTGGAGGTTGTTGTGAGTTGAGATCTCACCATTCACTCTGGCCTGGACAACACAGCAAAACTCAGTCAAAAAGAAAAACCAAGTTCAAAGTAGATTTTGACCTTTAGATAGACTTTGCTTTTTTAGGTTTACTTTCACACTCTTAATTAAAAATATCCATGGATTCGGAACAACCAGGCATGAATTCTATGAATCATTTTTGTAATAACAAACTTAGTTTTGGCCAGAACATGGCCCAGGAACTAGCGGTTGAAAGGAAACTGATTTTACCTCAATATGAAGAAAGTGTTTCAACAGAGCTGTCTAACAGTGGGCTTCCAGAAGTCCACAGTGCAAAAAATGATAATATGCTTTATACTGTGTGTGATAGAATAGGCTTTTAGCTAAAGGTGATCATCAGGTAAAAGTTAGGATTGGTGTTTAGATTTGTTTGCTCTGTAGTGAGTGAATTCATTTGTCAGTCTATCTTACACAGTCTGTAACTTTATAGTAGTCCAGAGCCTAAAGGAAATTGACCTTAAGTAAAGCAATTGTGAATTAATAAATATTTATTCACATGTACCCCTGAACTTAAAATAAAAGCTGAATAAATAAATAAACATTTGTAGGAATGACCTTGGATTCAGATATACATGTATCAGGTAGATCACTGAGAGTCATTAGAAACATACTTATGCTAATGATAAGTGTCATGGGCAGGTAAAAATATGGGCAATTAATATTATTTTCTTGGTTGGGTTCAACACTAGTCCGATTTATTGTATGGCCACAAGAGTCTACATGAAGATAAATCCAGTAAAGGAATGGATGGATGTGACCATGCCTAAGATGGGGGCTGTGGCCCAGGATATACAGTTGCTCCATTGTTTAAGAAAAGCCCAAAATATGGGGTTTTATGTAAAACCTATGATTTGTTTAAACAAAAAAGTCCTCTGCATAGCTGCAAAATACTTTTGTGGGCTCGTGGGTTCCATGGCCAGTTTGTGACTGTGATCTCAGGATAAAGTAAATAGGGATTAGCAGTGATAACAATGGAGATTTGATAGTTTTTTTAAAAAGTTTTATAAAATGTGTTTTTTAGTATAAATTTTTCAAATAAATTGGATTTGGTGATAATTATTAATTGATTTAATTTCTTAATGAGCCTTGTCTTACAATATTAGTTCTGTGGTTGCTTCACTGGGAAATCAGTATGATGTTGCTTGGTGCACATTAGCAAAACTTGAAAACTCCTTTTACACCTCTTCTTTCTGTGTTAACATTTATACATTTGGTTTGTTGTTCATCTATGAAGAGAACCAAATCTGAAATCTGTTTTAATATTAGACTTATCTTCTGCAGTGAAGATTGTTTTTAACTCATGGCAACTATAGAAGTCATCTTTCTTTTCCTTTTTTTTCTTTTCTTTTTCTTTCGTTTTTCTTATTCTGCCTCTTCTCTTCTCCCTTTCCCTCCTCTCCTCCCTTTCTTTTTTTTTTTTAAATGGAGTTTTGCTTTGTCTCTGAGGCTGGAGCGTTGCAGCGCAATCTCGGCTCACTGCAACACTCTGCCTCCCAGGTTGAAGCAATTCTCCTGCCTCAGCCTCCCGAGTAACTGGGATTACAGATGTGGGCCACCACGCCCAGCTAACATTTGTATTTTTGGTAGAGACAGGGTTTCATCATGTTGACCAGGCCGGTCTTGAACTCCTGGGCTCAAGTGATCCACTTGCCTTGGCCTCCCAAAATGCTACTGCGTCTGGCGTCTTTTCTTTTATTCCTTCTTTTCTTTCTAACAGACAGGGGCTCATTATGTTGCTCAGGCTGATATTGAACTCCTGGCTTCAAGCAATCCTCCTGCCCCAGCCTCCCAAAGTATTGAGATTATGGGTGTGAGCCCCCATGCCTGGCCTCATCTTTCTTTTTTATGTATGTTTTATGCATGTACCTGTGCAGTTTCAGAATTGTAATAGGGGGCTCCCAGAGGGGAGTAGGAGAGTACAGTGGGCCTAGATCCCAGGCTTTCTCGTATGTACTCCCCAAGGCTTTTTCTGTCCCACTATGCTCTTTTGAAAGGCCCTCCCTGCCTCTTTAGCTTTTTTAAATGAATGAGCTTATCTGTTTCAGCACTATAGGCAAGGAGTAATGGGGTAATGACAAAAGTACACTTCCCTCTTATTTCTTGTGTGGCAGCAGTCTACACTAGCTGGAATTAAGCCAAGTGTGGCTTAAGAGATAGCGGGACCATTTCTTTTCTTTAGCAAGTTAGTGGGAGGGAGAAAAAACTGCCCCAAAGTGTTAATTTTAAAGTTGACTTCCTGAGAAAAGTTGACTTGCGTCATAGTTAAATTTCAGACTGTTTGTTTAGTCTCTAAACAGACTATTTTTAACAGTTCAATTTGATATTACTCTATCAATTGTAAGTTCCAAAAATATTTGTAAATGTTCTAATTTCAGAAGAATAATGCATAAAGAAAAGTGATTGTTGGACTCTACTAGAGAAATTTTCAGGAACATCTTGTTCATATATATATATTATTTTTATTTTTATTTTTATTTTTATTTTTTGAGACGGAGCCTTGCTTTGTCCACCCAGACTGGAGTGCAGTGACACGATCTTGGCTCAGTGCAACCTCTGCCTTCTGGGTTTAAGCGATTTTCCTCCCTCAGCCTCCCGAGTAGTTGGGATGACAGGTGCGTGCCACCATGCCTGGCTAATTTTTGTATTTTTAGTAGAGAGAGGGTTTTGTCATGTTGGCAGGTTGGTCTCGAGCTCCTGACCTTAAGTGTTCCACCTGCCTCAGCCTCCCAAAGTGCTGGGATTACAGGTGTGAGCCACCGCAACCTGTCTTGTTTATATTTTGATTGGTGGATTTGCAAGAGAATGTGACATCAGAAGAAAGAAAAGGGTGATGGTAGGAAGTATATTCTGTGCCAGCACCTCTGGTCACCTAGGCCAGCATCCTAGGAATTAGCCAATTCTATCTCTTTGCCATTTAATGTATGTTCAGGTAATCAATGAAGAGCATCATTCCTACCTAAATATTGGTCTGGTCTTTGGCTTCTTTCTCTACCTTTATCGTTGGCTTAATTTGAGCCTTCATCTCCCACATAGTTATTGAGTCTCCTTCTTCAGTCTGTTTCTTTCCAACCCATCTTTCATATTTTCATCCCATCACATGATTCTCCAAATTGAACCTTTTGATGATTTCCTACTTTCTGCAGAATAGCCCAAACCTTTACTGGTGTTTACATGCTTACCCATCTGGCCCTTGCCCAATACTGTTTTCTTAGTGATATCCCACCAGAAGAGGTTTTGGATGTTCCTTTGTTAGTAGTACCTTTACCCTACTATGTTGCCCCTGCCGTCAGGTGGCCCCATGTTTTGTTTTTTCTGCCAGGCACACTCATATCTCAAGCCCCAGCTCAAGTATCATTTTCTCTAGGAAGGCTTTCAAGACCCCTCATCTTCCTATGGTGGGAAGGCTTATCTTTTTCATTGTTTTCTTAGTGTCTAGCAAGTGCTTGGCACGTAGAACATACTGAACATATGTTTGAAGAATTATTTACTTCTGTCTGTAGACTTAGAATGAAAATTATAATATGAACATATGAGAGTTTTAAGTTAAAATTTTTGTTGCCAAAGTATTGGTAGGTTAATCTTAGCAAGGGAAGATTTCTGCTAGGTAACACTTTGGTCTAAATTATTTTACTTTTGAAAATAACAACTGGGTGCTGTGGCTAACACCTGTAATCCCAGAGCTTTGGGAGGCTGAGGTGGGGGGATTATTTGAACCCAGGAAGTTGAAGCTGCATTGAGCTATGATCATTGCCATTGTGTTCCAACCTGGGTGACAGAGTAAGACCCTGTCTCAAAAATAAAAAAAATAAAAAAGGAAATAGGAGGTTACAAATATATATAATTCAGTATTTTTTTCACTACTGAGTACTCTGAATAACAAATGAGCAGTTTTCTTTGTTGTTCAGCTGTTACTAAGGATTCCTTGTAGCTAGAAAATTAGCTCATTAAAACCTTTTCTTCAAAGAGATCAATGTGGCTTACCACAGTAAAGAGTGGCCATTTTGTGGTATTTTATTGCTTTAAGTTTCTGTTAAAGATGGTATGAGTTAAAATATGTAGAATGTTTGGGGGATTTATTTCTAATAGTGAATTTTCACTCTCTCTCTTTAGATTCTTGATATAATTATTAGCTTTTAAAAACTTAATAATTCTTGGCTGTGCACGGTGGCTCTTGCCTGTAATCCCAGCACTTTTGGAGGCTTAGGCGGGTGAATCACGAGGTCAAGAGATCGAGACCATCCTAGTCAACTTGATGAAACCCCGTCTCTACTAAAAATATAAAAATTAGCTGGGCGGGTGGTGCACACCTGTAGTCCCAGCTATTTGGGAGGCTGAGGCAGGAGGATTGCTTGAACCTGGGAGGCGGAAGTTGCGGTAAGCCGAGATCGCGCCATTGAACTCCAGCCTGGGCAACAAGAGTAAAACTTCATCTCAAAAAATTCTTCAGGCATTGCTTTCAATATAAATGTTAAGTTTTGACTGAATTTGGTGAGGAAAGCTATGAAAATAAAATTTAAGAGTTTCCATCATTGTAACTACAAATTAAGAAAAAATAAAAAACAATTGGAGCGTATTTCAACCTATTGTATAGAAGAAGGATATTTGGAAATAAGGATAAGTTCATCTATAGATTAGTCTTAGATAAATATTTTTTAAATAGTGATTTTACACTTAGGTAATGTAATTTTTAATTATACGATACAACAATGTCTTTGTCTCTAGAAAAAAGCAGAAGAAGCTCATAAAATTTTTGAAGGTCTTGGCCCAAAAGTTGAACTGGTAAGTGAGAAATTAATTTTTTCATTTCCAGTGATGTTTTCTTTTGGTAGTAGTTTTTCTTTTGATAAGATGGAATATGATCCATTTATTTTGGGATAAGACAGATGTAGCTGAGCAGAATTTGAGATGAAGTTTAAAGTAATGGTGAGTGAACTTGGTTACCTTTGCAGACTTTTTTCGAAGCATCATCCTGAGCATGTTTTTACCTGAGCAGCCATTTAATCATTCCAGGTAGAATGAGAATCAAGAACAGAATTAGAAAGCTGTTTGAATTTTACTGTTAAAATAGTGGCAATGCTTAATCCTCCTTTGAAATTAAAAATTAATCCTCCTTTGAAATTAAAATTCTGTGCGTAAATATACTTATTATGGGAAACAGTGCATTTATAAACTGTCTTATGGGAATGGCATTATTAGGAGATGGAATTAACAGTTACTTAAGGAATCTAAAAGTTTAAGGTTTTGGTAGGGCATGTTATTGTATAGATCCATTAGTACTTTACCTGGGCCTACATTAAAATTTTGTTTCTTTGTCTCTTCATCAATATTCCAAGCACTGAATAAAGATGGGCTTAGTGGTTACTGTATAGACAGTGCAGATTAAAAACATTTCCTTCACATAGACATATGTACAACATTTTATACATAAATATTTGATTTCTTTTATAGCCACTCTATAACCAGCCATCAGATACCAAGGTGTACCATGAGAACATCAAGACGTAAGTATTGATCATCTTTGGAGTTCCTCAATTAAAAACCATATATTCCGTAAAGAGATCATTTTTATGTTATCTGCTGACAGTATTATAATATAGTGTAGGTGTGTTTTAGATTTGTGTAATTTGCTGTTGTTTTACTATATGTTATCTTCCTCTGGCTTCTTGGGGGTTGGGGTAACAGCTTTGAGTTTCCGAGGCCAAAAAATGAAATAAATTGTTGCATAAAACTAGCTGGTTTTATAATCTGCTAGTAAAAAAGGTGGATACTTAACATTGAAATGGCTTACCTTGAGGCTTGAATTTTTTGCCTCCTGTTTTGTCTTTTTTTCAGTGGAGTACCTGCAAGGCGCATGATGAAGTAAGATAATGAAGCTTTTTCATTTAAGACTAGTGATGACACCGTCCCCCACCAAGCCACATCTGCCATTGCAAAGTAGAAGTGCCACGGATCATTTTATCATTATTCAAAATCCTATTCTAGGGAAATCCCTTCCATGACTCTTGCTAATGACGGTATTTGTAGACCCTTCTGCCATTTAATGTCCTGGTGCCTTGGAAGCGCTCAGTCACCTCATGTGGGTGAGGAGGCTGCTCCAGAATATAGTTTGCTTAGCCTTGCTCATCCTAGTACCAGGCCTTTATGGATGCAGATTTTGGAATAAGAAAATAAGTGAAAAGAAAATCTGATTTCTTGATCTGATTGAAGTAAGAAAGGAAGCTAGATAGGTATCTTTTTTTAAAAAAAATTATACTTTAAGATAATTTTAGGTGAATTCTTAGTTTGTGACAAAAATGTGATATTTCTACTTTATATGTTTTATTAAGTATAACCAGATCATTATAATTATTTACTAGTATGGTTGCTAATGAGCACATTGCTATTTATTATATATATACATATATATATACTTTTTTCTTTTTAAAAATTTCTTACTGAGAGTATGTGCAATTATTGACTACTTTGCAGAACTGGTGGCAAATATAATTTGCATGGTAGTATGCATGAAAACAATTGAATTTGAATAATTTTAACTTTTGTTAAATAAGTGGTTCGTAATAAAAGTTAATGTATTTGTGAATTTTTCTGTGAGATGCTATTATGATCTTGAGAACCCTTAGAAGTAAATCAGTCAAAACTCACTTAATATACCTTGTTTTGGAACTGCTTAGCTGTTGTAACCTTTTTAAAGAGGAGAAGAGCAGATAAGAAAGACCTAGTTTGCTACTTTTAATGACTTTTTTTCCCCCCAAAGCCTCAGTTATGTTTATGTTCTGTCCTGTTTCTCCTAATACTGTCTGGAGAGCAGTTCTGTCTGATTTATTTCATGTCATCTACATTGCCTATTTAGTGCTCAGCACACTATCCTGAGATGGATTACTGACTGGCTGACTTCATTTAAATTCCTAGGAAACATTTAAGATTGTATTTGTTGATTGTCATTTGCTTTTGAGTAACGTATAATTATCATTAGAGCAAACTGAGTATATGGTAATGCTTCCCTGTACAACACCTTTTGAAATATTTCCTCAGCTGCATGCATCTGTATGAGTCATTCAGTAGCTGTTCTTTCATCACCATCATTTGCTTTGTATGAAATAGCAAATGTACATTTTAATAATTCTTTTCATCTCTTGGCTACTTTTTCATATAGCCAGCTCCAGATTGTCCATGCTTACTTGAGTGGAACCAGTGTCACTGTTAGTCCAGAGTGGCAGATAATCCACAAAATTACTTCTACTTGCCTTGGCTTTGTATTTATATTTGAATAATCAGCTTGAAATCCTTTCTGGAAGTAGGTGGGGTATAAATATTTATATTTGAACCTGCATGTCATTGTTTTTGAAGGTCACAATGCTTCCAATTTAAAAAGTGATTAAGATGTATTAGAAATCTTGCTGTTTTATCACATTGCCCTCCATTACTTCTTAGAGTGGATCGTGTCATTTCTGTGACTGAAGAAAATCTCTGTTTAAAGCAGAAGTCATCTGTCTCTACTTATGTTGTTATACATTATCCTCATAGAAGGGAGGTTAACACCTTACCTGATATAGGGAGGTAACTTTAAAAGCGTGTCCTTCTTTTCTACCTCTCATCCTCCAAGACTAAGATGTTTATGTCACCAGAGTTGTTAAGAAGGATAAGTAACTGTAATTTTAATTTGAAAATATTTGCCTTATAATTGGATTTGCTAATTGAAAGTTAACTGTTTTGTATAAAGTCTTACTGTAGAATGGGAGGAACTTTAGTGAGTTCTAATTTTTGCAAAAATTATAAAGTCTTATTTTGCAGGGTGAAAAAAATAGGATTAACTTTGTTTACACTATAAATTCTTAAGTGATTTTTGCCTGTGTTCCAGTGTCTCTGGGAAAAAAACAATACATTATTAAATTGTGCTTTTTCTTAATGTCATGCAACCATATTTTTCTCTTCTAGAAACCAGGTGATGAGGAAAAAACTCATTTTATTTTTTAAAAGAAGAAATCATGCAAGAAAACAAAGGGTGAGGTCCTATCCTTGTTAACTGAAATTTGTACAGCTTTCCCATTCATGCTCATTTAGGCACCCACTTTCCCACTATTAATCAGAATCGTCCTTGACTCCATTTGAGGATAAGTGTTGATTTAGAAAGTACCCATATATATGACTGAAATCTAATTCTAGTAACATTTTGATACCATAATTTACATGTAATATCATTATCAAATTAATTTCATTGGTCACCTATCTAGAACATTTTCATCTAGTCAAAATAAAGAAAATGGTGAGTAGTTTAAAAAATATGAAAGATAGTTAATTTAGTTTCTTAAGCCTCAAACAATTGTGGGTAAGTTGCAGTCATGCTGATTAGATATTACTATTCTTTATTTTATTAGAAACTGGGTCAGCTAGGGTTCAGCTTTTTCAAATTAAAATAGTTTTCCATATTTTGTTATATGACTTGTAGTCCAAAAGTTTTGTGGTTATATAATCTTCATGGTAATTAAGTTATAGAAAATATAATGCCAGTGATTTTTTTTTTCATATGTTTATACTGATTTTACAGATTTACAGTTAGCAATAAATTTACAGTTTAACCGTTAATACATTTAAATTCAAGTGTCTGTTAAATAAACGCTGCTCTTTAAGTCTACATCAAAAATGAACTTTGTGGCTTAAGTTTAATGACCTGACAGTTTAATGAGTTGTAAAGGTCAAGAGTAAGCCGCTTTTATTTGGTGGAAAATGTCTAATGTTCTAATTTGCCAGTCTGTTCCTTCAGATACTATCTTAAATTATGGTCTTACTTTTTTTTTTTTTTTTGCCAAGAACATATAAATATCAAGTAAGAAATTAGCTCATGTATTTTTTTTCCTTTCCAAGTAATTTTGTTGTAATTGTGGTACTCGCTAGATTAGCTCACTGGTGATGCAAACACTATAAGGTCTGTATGTTCACCAATTAGCTTAAATATTGCTTGGCTGTGTACTCTGTCCCATATATTCTGTGAAGGTGAGCAAGGTAGCCATATGGTTTTAGTAGTTTTAGGGGGAGCCTAAGGTGATGGGAATCAGACAGATCAGCAGGTAGTCATAGTATTGGATCACACCATGGTCATGGACTACAGATGACTGAGGAGGACACCTAAGGCAGATAGGAATTATGAGGGGAAGTTTCATGGGAAAACCAGTTCTCTGTATATGCAGAGGGAGCTGCTTAAGTGAATGTCTGGGAGCTGGAGGGAATGTGGACTGAACTGGCAGTGTGAGAAATGAGGCTACTGAGGGAATCCAGAGCCAGGTTGTATACTGTCCTGGAGGTTGCATAATGTTAGGGTTTGTATTTTAAGAATTTGCATTTGGGCACAATATTAAGATTGCATGGTGTAACTCTATCAAGACAGTTGCAGGTGGGGCAAAAAAAAAGAATGCATGGGAGCTATTGTTTTGATCTAGAAGAGGGATGGTATTGACCTGGATTGTGAGGGTAATAGCAGAAATGGAAAAAAGGTGAAGGACACAGGAGACATATAGGAGTAATTGAGAAGTGGAAGTGGGGTGTGGTATAGAATTGAGAAAGATAATATTCTCCAATGCTACTTTCTTGAGATGACCGTGTTAGCAGTTTTTCATGAGCCCTTCTTCACTTTCCTCTATCCATATGTCATCAGATGTATTGACAGTTCTTTGTCCTTAATGGAGGGCTCTTCAGTCTCTTCTTCTCTATTTAGAAAATGGTATCATAGTTCACTTCTCTAAAAACATTAATTCTCAATTTCATGTAGTTCACTGGATTTTTTTTTTTTTTTTTTTTTT